CAGCCGCCGGCCGCCCTGCTCTTCCGCCCTGCCGTGGTGGTGCCGCCTCCCGGGGCCTTCGGCCGGGCTCTCCGCGCAGCGCGGAGGGGCAGCCCCGGTGAGAAGGGTAACGGGCACCATGTGAGGGACATACCCGTCCCCGTGTGAGAGATGTGTCCCCTCGTGTGAGGGACATGCCCATCCCCATGTGGGGGTCGGGTCCCCTCCTGTGAAGGATGTGCCCGTCCCCGTGTGAGGGTCGTGTCAGCCGTGCCAGGCCCCGCGTGGGGTTGCTGCCGCCGTGTGCGGCACGCCTGCCCTGGTGCAAGGTGTGCCCACCCTCATGCGAGATGCGTCGGCCATTGCGCAGAGTGCGCTGGCCCTTACAGGAGGCGCGCCAAGCCATCGCGCGAGGCACAGGCGCTGCCAGGCAGGGCACGGCAGCCCGTGTCGGAGGGGCAGCAGGCAAGCTGCCTGCCGGCACAACCCGCTTCCTCCAGCCAGCTCATGACCTCCCCTCCACGGCAGCCCCTCCAGGCACGCAGAGCCCAGCGGTGCCAGCTTTGGTGATGGCTGCCAGTGGTACGGCCCGGCCTCCCCTCACCCTGGCACACCATGGCACAGGCTGGTGCTTGGCCGCCGGGATGTGATCAGGGGCTGCATTCCAGTCAGCCCCTAGTCCTGCTTAGTGCCCCAGGGACACTCGTCCGCACCTCAGGCAGGAGTCCCGTGGCCTCTGGACGCCAGTCCTTAGCGCACACCTCCGCTTACACCCACTGACAGCCCTGCTGTGGCACCACCAGCACACCAGGTGGCAAGCAGCATCCTTATGCCACTGTTAGCATCCCCAGGGCCAGGCTGCTTCCCCAAGGCACCAAGAAGAGACTGTGGGGTTAGCCGCCCTTCCGCTAGCAGAAAGAGAAAGGGCGAGAGCACCAGCATTTTGGCATTTGGCAAGGCAGGAGAGCACCAGCATTTTGGCAAGAGGCACTGCCGATGCTTTGCAGCCCTAACGGCTCCCTCTGCCCGCTGGTGTCCATCTGCAAGCGGCACCAAGTTCGGCGTCTTCAGGGATGGTTTTTTTACTGCGTGCATGAGAAAGGGCTTCCCCTTGCCCCAGATGGTGCATGAGAAAGGGCTTCCCCTTGCCCCACGCCACAGGGCGGTAGCTCTCCCAGGCGGTGCCCAGGCACCTGCAGCAGCATCACAGCCCCTGCTGCTCAGCTCCGCCACCCACGGGCACCCGAGCGCGTGGCAGGGATTTAGCTGGCCTGCTCCTGTGCCCCGATGCAGACCTCAGCTGCCCCCACCCACCAGGTGAGGCATCAACACCGGGGAGAAAGTTGCAGGTTTTTCTTCCAGCATCCATTAAAAACCCCCGTTTTTCCAAGGAAAATTCAGTTTGGGGCCCTTGCATTGGGATGGTTTGTTAGTGCATCAGCCTTTGCAACTTAGCTGTTGGTTTGATCTCAATCAACTAATATCGCAGCCTAATCCATTGAAGCTTGTAATAGGCTTAGGAATAACAGGAGTTTACGTCCTCATTAGCGTTCAGTGCGCCACGGCAGGGAAAACATCCTGACCCACGTCCTGTTGAAGAAGAGGGAAGCCCAAGGCACGGCGGCTGGCGCGTGTGCTAGGAAAGAAAGAGCCGTGTCAGGGAAGAAAACAGAAAATTTGGGAGATGGGGGAATTTAGGATGGGGTAGGGAAGGGCAGGGAGTACACAGGACACACAGTGCCTCCATGCACATCCCAGCTCCAAGGGGGCTGCAAGAGCCCCCCGTGATGCTGTGCTGGAGGGGCTGCAGTTCAGGGTAGGTAGGCTGGGGAGCAGTGGGACCCCCATGCCAACACTGCAGCCAGGCTGGGCACCGCCGGCACCCCTTGTGCAGCCCCTACATAGCTCCCAAAAAGACGCAAGAGTTAACAGCGGGATGGATTCACACCGGAGATGGGGCTCCTCTGCTCACTCAGCCCTCACTCCCAGCACCGCAGGAGCCACGCATGCTCTCCAACACTCCTGGGGATCTGAACACACTCCCATCCTGTGGGAAACCTAACGAGGCTATGCAAGGTCCCGTGGTCCCTTGGCAGAAATTTGAGTGGCTGCTTTGGAGTTGCACGCTGCTTTGGACAGCACAGGCCATCCGCACAGCAAGGAGGAAGTCAGAAGAGATGTGTTGACCCCTAGGCACAGCAGGGCTGGGGACCATGAGGGGGTCCAGCCGCCACTGCCATGGTGGTGCCCTCTGCACTATCTGTGGATGGGGCCGTGGCACCCCACATGCTGCTGCTGCAGTGCTGAATCCTGGCATCACCAGCACTTTGCCTCTGCCCAGTGCCCTGTGTTCCTGTGCTCCCCCACCAACCCTGACCGCCACTGGCTCTCACCCGGCTTTGGTTCCACCGATGGTGACAGATGGTTCCCTATCAATTATCGTTAGTGTAAACGAGGGGGTGGGGAGAGCGCATGCTGCCCGCTGATTTGGGGTTTGACTGCAAGCAAGCTCCCACTCCCATGGAAATGAGGCAAACATGGAGTCCAAGTGCAGGGTGCGCAAATGCATCCGACGGGTCCCCAAACCACTTTGCGCCATCCTCATGGCCAGTGCCTCCCTTCCACCACTGTCACCCGTGCAGGAGCTGAGGCCTGGTCACTACCTGGGCAGTGGCAGGGTGGGCAGAGCAGGCAAGACTCATCCTTGCCCCTGCGCCTGGGCTGAGCACACATCTCAGGACCACCATGGGAAATACCAAGCGGGCCCTAAAATGCAGCTCGGCATGTGCCGGAGAGAAGTTCCCATGGTGCTTACACAATGCTGAGGGCTGATGCTGGTGGGTGTGGATTTCTAAGCCTCCGGAGAAGCTGGCATGTTAATTTATAAACTCCACAGGATTCCTGAACATTGATAATCTGCTATGATTAACTCCTCAGCCACCATAAAACACCTCCAGCTTGGCTGGTCCAGCACCAGCGCTGATGAGGCTGTGGCCATGCCAGCCATGCCCCGCGGGGATTTACGTTCTCCCCCTCCAGGCCCTCATGCACCCACCCGAGCAGCACCGTTAGGCTAATGCCGACCGGCAGAGCAGCCCCAGCCCCGCGCGCAGCTCACCCAAGAAACCTCATCTAATAAAGGGCAGAGCAGCACCCATGTGTGACAGGAATGTGCTGGCTCCACAGGAGCCCCCCCAGAAGCTGGCTGGATTATACATCGCACCTCCTCAAACTGGGGATTTGTCGTCAAGAAACCCAATCAGGAGAGAGGCGATGCTTTTAAAAAATTATGAAGGCTTTCAAGTTTATTTGTTCTAATTACCTGCTGACAGCTCAGAGGAGGAGGGGAAAATCATCGGGGTATTACTGCCACAAAATAGTTGTAATTGAATCATTCCAGGCAATAAAGCAGAGGCACAGGTCACAGGCAGCTCATCGCTCCCCCCACACCAGCCCCCCAACACCCCTCACTGCTGCACCACAATAAAAACACACCGATACAGGGAGATACCGCTCTAATAGCGGCCTATTACGGCTAACGGCAACACAAGTGTCTTATCTGTGCCTGTCACCCGTGCGCAGAGCAGGAACCGCTGAGCAGGCTTGGGGATAATGAGTTTACACGCTGCGGTTCGATTCCCTGTGATGTGCAAAGGCCTTTCCTGGGCAGCGGGTGGAGCTCTGCCCCGGGAGCCCCCACAGCAGGCTGCCCCCCAGCTCTTCCAGCCCTGGCTGCGGTGACAGCATGGTGGTGGTGCAGGTGGGGCGATGCTCACTGTGTAGCTGGGACATGGAGCAACCCCCAGGGACAGGAATGGCTCAGGGATGCTGAAGGGAGCCACCAGCACTGCCTGTTCAGGCTCAGCCCAGCCAGGGCTCTGCCATCCCCCCCCGTTGCAGGCCAGGGTGCTGTCATGAAAGGCTTTGCCCAGGCTGTGCTCCCGGCTAGCAGAGCCATGGGTCCTGCCCGCTTGCCCCAGCCTGGCACAGCAAAGCCTGGGCTGCATCACTGAGGGCAAGTGCCGGAGGAACATCCCACCACTGCAGTGGGGCACAAGCCGAGAGCAAGCCCAAGCAGCACCCAGAGGCAAGCTGAGGTTGGCTTGGGGGGGGACGAGTAACCATACGCTGCACAGAGCAAGGGGGCACAGGAAAGCCACCACAGGGTGGGCACCCCTGAGTGCTTGGCAGCCCTCATGTATTGTGATTCCCCCCCAGGTGTGCAGCTTGACACACTGCAAGGCCACAAGGCCGGCCCCTGGGAGACACTGGCCAAAGAAGCAGGAGCTGGGACACAGCCCTGGCCCCATTTCTGCAGGCAGCTGTGCTTGATGCAGCCCCCGTG